ACAAGTGGGCAACATCGACAGCCCGTCCCGTCACGCCTCCCTCCAAAGCCACGCCCCCACAATCATCATTATGAATATAAACAAGGAACATGGCTACTCACAGCTGTTAAGCTAGCATGCTAGCGGAAGAGTACGGTGAAGGACAATGAGTGCACGGACAGAATGCACAAGCATGTAGATAGGTAGACGGGCAGGCAGCCCGTCCAATCATTTCATTCAGGTCGAATGAAATGATTAATCAGCACATCAAACTATGATCCACAAGGCATTTTAGGCTGTTGAGATGACTTTTTTGTGAAATTAAGTATTTCCTTTGTCTACCCACCATCTTTTTATCTGTTCAGCTTGCCTCATCTTCGACTTTGTGAAATTATATATTGATACCTCACATTTACAGTTTGTGTTTTAGATTGCTGAAATATTTCCCGTTCAGAAACTCAAACTTGTATCCGTGCTTGATGACATTGTTTGCACAGGTTTCCAGGTGCAATGCTTTAAAAGGTCAGTGTTCTACCACATTAAATGTTTTGACTATACTAGTATCTGATCAAAAAGCTAGCTCAACAACCATGAAGCCAATGGGTGGCTACTATTATATATGAGCATGCAATGATATCTATGATTAGGCCTACAGTTCTTGTAAACAAGCCATTGGCATCTACACACTTCTGATGCTTAATTTAAGTTAGCAACTCACCTCAGATCTGCTTCCAGACTCCCCCACAGCACGTTTAGCCTTCTTCTTTCCTCCATCTTTAGCACTTTCACTTCCCCCCTGTCCAAAAATGATGGAAAATGTTAAAAGAACATTTATCAAGAAGAAAGTTGATGACAGACATGTTTAGACATAGTTCCATAGTTATCACAAACTACACACAGTTTACAAAAAGACGGGAGAGATGCACAACTACACTATGCTTGATATAACAATAGTAGCATAATGTCTAATGTTAGCATGCTAACATTAGACAAACACATTATATATAACACTATAAGAAAATGTGTGATGGTAAACAGCCCTTCCTTTTTGGTAGTTACATAGCCTACAATACAGAGCAGTTAAATCATGTTCAAGGCCTCACACAAAAAGTGCTGGAGGAAAATCCAGCATACAAGTGATCCAATTAAAAAAGTACAAGTATAAGGTCGACACAAAATTGTAACACATAATAGGGTTATTATTAGAAATGTGTGGGAGTAACTTACAGACCAGTTTTTAAGAGAAGAGAGCTTAGTCAATCAGATTAGTTCATTGGGTGGGTCCCGATTAAAAAAGGGAAAATAAGTGATTAACGCAAGTTAAATATTGGCCTAGCATGGGTGTAAACCTATAAAGCAGTCACACATTAAATGCTCAGAATGATGAGTAGGGTTTGGCGTAAGGCATTCTTCAGAACTATACTTGCGGCAGTTTAGTTAGCGTCGTTAGCACCAGGTTAGCACCGCATTGCTTGTGGTTAAATGACAGCATGACACTGACTACAGGCTAGGCTAGCTATTAGCTCGCTGATATGACTTAAATGTAGTCGGTTACAAAACGCAAGCATTACCTTTTTTTTCGCGTCCACCTTCAATTCGCTCATTTTCTCCACGACAGCCTGGTCAGCCATAACAAGCGAAAAGTTAACTCACTTTAAGAGATACCTTCTACTAATCTCGGCAGTGCTGTAAGCAGGCAGAGTTGCCGGGTAAGGGCTGATGACGTTCCCGGATATTGCGATTCTGATGCAACATTGCAGTAGGCGGGGCTTTGTCTGACAGAGTACATCATCAGCCGGTTTCCTAATTAAATTACCTCATAAACTTGTTTTATGAAGTCAATTAATTAAACCAGCGTTCATTAGTCTTTGGAAATCAAAAATATGCCATGGAAATTGTGAAGGGTACTCAGTGTTTATAATAAGTGCAAGAAATACTGGGGTCATGAGTTCCACTCTGAAGAATCATCAACACTATCTGCCAATAATAAATTGAAATAAATAATATTCTGTAAAACATTTTCAATAACTGGTATTTGGATTTTCATGTTGAGTTAACAGTTAATTTTTCTGTCAACTTTCTTTGAGGGTCTAGATTACTTTCCAATCTACTCTCCACACATTCTTTTTATTTCTTTATTTGTTATTTGTTTGTTTGTTTATTTATTTACATTAGTATAATAGTATATAGTGTAATATATATATAAGGACCAGGAGACCTTTTTGCAAGCAAACACTTTCTTCAGCTGTCTTTTCCCAAATTGTCTGTGCAATTTTGACAGATTTTCTGTGTGAAGGAAAGAGGAACAAGCAGGGGATTTTTATCCTTCGATATCTGGACGCTCTTTCATTTCTTGGTCACTGGTGTACTCTGAAATGGAGGAGTGGAGCCCGCTTTTATTAGGCCAAAAGAAAACACTTCATGTCACTGTTTTGAAATATGAAGCGAGCCTTACGTTTAGTTATTTAATCCAAACTGCTGTGGTTCAAGCAAATAACAAGCAGGTGATTTCACTGATTTAAGATGACTTTCTGGTCGAGGGTGTGCTCAAAAATACAAGGTCACTATATGTTTCTGAATTAAATCCCCCAAAGTATTTTAGATGTGATGCCCAGCAGGGACTAGACAGAGGTGTGGAGGCATTGCTCAATCCGCGCTGAGTGAAATCCTCTCTTCCACATGGTCTGAAGTAAGATTTCCTTCAGTTCGGCAGAGGATTTTTTGCATGCACCACACAACTGCCTTTGAGGCTCACGGCTACATTTTTAGTCAGCAGGTTTAAGAGTTATAGTCTAACAGGACTTCTTTTAAATAGCATATATGATCATTTATCGAGTGGAAAGAGAAGAAAGGGAATATTTGCAGAATAAAATGGAGGGCTTGACGCCCACTGTACCGCCACGGGCAGTTTGTTTCAGTTGAATGTTGTGTTGCTAGTAGCAACGACTCCTGGCACTGCTCCGTGTAACCGACAAACCCCCAGTACAGGAAGAGCGCAGGATTTAAAGTTAATCTTACATCATGGCCAAACCATGTGATGCCATGGGGCCCAAAAATACTTTTCCCATAGATTTACATTGGGAAAGAGACATCTGTAATTCAGTGGAAATTTTTTTTAGGTAAAGCAACTTCCCAGTGCGAACACCTAAAAAGCCTATGAGTTGTAAAATGCTCTAATAGCCGAATGCAGAGTTATTTATAATGTGAATGAGCCCGAGAAGGAGGCTGGACCCAGGGCTAGGAGGGGGGCTTAAAGGAAGCGCTAGTGCACTTGTTCTATGGGCCCATTGATGTGGAAGATTCCCGGAAGATCCCAAAAAGTTTATCTCAACGTTTTTTTGGTCCGTGTACCACTGAGCAACTTTCATAGGATTGAACGGGGGCCCGCCTCGGAAATGTTTCCAGTTCTCTTTATGCATCCATGGTAACAGACATTGTTACATTCACCATTTTGCCTGTGATCTGTGACCAAGCAAACATTCACAAGCAGCATTTATTTAGTCCCCAAATAACATTGTTGAAACATTAGCGGTCGGCACCATCCACCACAGTTTACTGATAACCAAGCTAATGCGATACAACTGCACTATGCTACTCTTTTGGAATATATGCAGTTGTGGAATATAATAAGTAGGAAACTGAACAATTTTGAAGTAGGCTATTGTACTATTTTCATTTTATTCTACTTCTTAAATCAATTAATACATTACGATGTATAATTATAGCTTCAACAACTCAGCAATATAGCCTAAATGAGCTCCACCTTTACCAGCTGCAACATTAAAGTGATGTAGCTGACGCATTAATGCATAAGTAATTATAAATCAAGTAATGGCTCTATATGTCATTCTTAATCATGGGTAGCCTATACTTCTAGTAATTTAAGTAGCCTGGGCTACATATTGATGCTACTACTTTTTTGTTCCTTCAAATTGTAATGCAGGGGTGAAAGTAGACCAGTACGGTCCACCACTCCGTACCACTAAAAGATTTCAACAAGTAAACACATCCGTTAGTTTGCTCAAACAACAGATAGTTACCTTCGCCAAGGAGGTCGTGTTTTCAGCTCGGTTTGTCTGCTTGCATGAACATGCGAGATAGAGTATTTGTGCTGCATTCATCTTGTGTCGGAATCAAGTGATCAAGTTGGAACTCGAAATCAGTTAACTCTCCAGCCGTTCTACTTTTCCAGCCTGATCTCTTTCCCACAAGGCATTTTTGTATGAGACGCAACAGGCTTTCAAGTGACTACAGTGTAAACCCATCCTTTGTTATTATTAGATGCTCAGTGGAAGTGCTCCGGGAGTGTGATGACATAGTATGAAGACTGAAAAAAAGACAGTGTGTTTCACAAACACAGGACTTTCAATCAGGAGGCCGGTGTTCGTGTCCTAACGTTACGTTAATGATGTTTGTGATGTGTTTTCCGTACCGATGTTAGGTTGTTTGCGTTTTATGTAGTTATTTTAAGCCCAACCATGATGTTTTTCCTAAACCTAAGTGTTTTTGTTGCCTAAACCAAAGCAAGCGTTTTTGTTTGAATTCACGTTAACCACGTGTTTCCTGCGACCCAGTGCTTTAGAAAGTGGAGCCAAAGGGTTCTGACCGAGCCTCGGTGGTATGTGACGTGTGTTGAGTTTTCATATAAACTGCCTCTGAATTGTTCCATCGTCAGTGTGTTGGCATCCAGCACAGACCTGCAGGTTTTTAATCCGTGCTTGCTGCCTTTCCAAAACTGCTCAGTTAGGCTTCTGCTGGCGGACGTCAACTTCTGCTGCAGCTGACTGTCTGATATCGAGTGCTGTGGGGTTTTGGCAGCGGAAGTCGTTTCTTCCAAAAATGTTGTTCTGTTTTATTTCAACATGTCAAACAAACGACTTTTCTAACTCGAGTTGCTGGTTTGCTCTACAACTACTGTTAATTTGGTTGTAATTTTCTTCTCATTCAAAACAAAAGCAGTTGTTGTAATTTTGAAAATTTGGTTGACATTGCCAAATTTTCTGTGGCACATACAGCTTTTAGAAAAAGAATTTGCTGATAACATGTCAAGTGTTTTCTATTTCTTTCTACACAAAATAGGGGTTAAAAAAACTTGAATGCGTGTGTTCAGGGCAGGATTGTGACGCATGAAGATGGGGGTGAGACGAGAAAAATATGAAGCGATGAAGATCGAAGAACTTCAATCTAGCCTACCTTCACCCCTGCTTGTAACAGAATATTTCTACACTAATATTGCAACTTTCACCTACTTGTTCCACCACCGTGTGTTACTGTGATCACTGTTATTCCTGTGTTGTAGTTACTTCATGTTCTTCTTTTACTGGTGACTTCTTTTACAATAGTCCAGTAAAGACTGGACTATTGTTGTCCCATACTGTTTTCGCTGTTTCCAGTAAAACTACAAAGGTCAACAGCTTCAACCTCCTAATTAGTGATGAACAGAAAGAGGCACATTTTGAAATCTCTTCACTTGCTTAGCTGATGGTGTTGAACACTCAAATGGTCATCTACATGACTTGGTGTGAAGACTTTAGTTGTCTCATAAAGGATATGTATAATGAATAAAATATGAAATTGTGCTGTATTGGTTTTGTTGATTTTGGATTGGAAATTAAAGTGTGGTTTGGGGCCTAAACATTTCAGTGAGTTGTTCTGTTGTTGCCAATGGTCCATTTAATACCACAGTCTGTGCTACAATATTATTTATTTTTTTGTTAAGGATGAGAAAAGATCAGCTTTGGGAGAATGTCACGAATGCGGAATAAAAGATGATAAAGAAATTTGGTTTCCCGTTTGCCCCTATTTCTTTTTTTATTCTAATGCATCTTTTCTTTTTTTAAACAGATATGTGAATCTTAACTGCTTTGAATTTATGTTTTTTTTAAACTGTACTAATTAATTATACTTACTGTGTTGTTGTTCACATGTCCAACACATTCATTATAGAGTACCGGTATGTTTTCTAATCTTTAATCAGACAAACCAACTAATTGACACACATAATTCACACTCACAATGCATGCATAATGAAAATAAGCAGATTAGCATTGTTGCTGATAAGAACAACATTGGCAATGTTCACCGGGAGGGAGCGTCTGAGGTTATGTTTGTGCCGTGTTTTTTGCCGTCTTCCTTTTGCTCGAAGGCGCCAGACTTCAGACAACGTGTGCATTTCAATTACAGTCGAACAGTGGGTTTTAAACTTCTGACACTCTCCGAGGGAATAAGGAAGAAGCTGCAGCACACTGCGCTATCCTGCTGTGCTTGAGCTTCTTGAGAGAGAAGAGGGGAATTCTTGAATAATTAACCTTTGAGGACTTGAAAAGTCAGGCGCCATGTTCTATTTTTTGGGCTCATACTCCCGGGTTGTTGGTGTGTAAGCTTAGGACGTGCAATAGAACTGCAGCATTATATTTAAGAATTTATTTTACATGCTTAAATGTGGATTATACATGTATTACATAAGGTAGTAATTTATTAAATGTATACAATGTTTATGTCATACTTTATTTCAGGGCGCAAAGCAAATAGATTTTGACAAAGTCACTGATTAAATAATGAGCACTAGCAATTGGTAAAATACGACTCCTCGGTTTTCTTTCCATAAATAAAGCAGTGCACAAAAGGTGTGAGGAAAAAAGCGAAAAGGGGCTGCTTGTTATTTATAGCAAGGAGGTGAAAAAAGAAATGTGGCAAAAGGCAAAGCCCCTATAAAAGTGGATTTATTCGGGCAGCCCTTGGTGTTGTGAGG